CAAATTTCCATTTCCAGTGGTTATAAGTGAAAATACCATTAAACATGAATAAAGCATAAATCCAATTTTTGACTTACTCTAACTTGGTCAGTTTTGAAAATAGAAAAAAACTTTTTATAAAATAAATGTTTTACAAAGAATACTCTACCCGAATCTGTAGAAAAAACTAGGGGTGCCATTTAAAAAAAAGTAAGTTGTATTGCGCATGCGCGTACCGATTGAGCTAAACACTTTAAATTGTTCTGAAAATATGTATTTAAGTGCTCCCTATCACCTCCCGAAAACCCCATTTCAATACAAAGCCACCCAACTGAGAAATTCAGTGGTAGGTACCTAATATCGTGATCACACTGTATAGATATTTTTTTAAAAACGCTGATATCATGTAAGTACCTATGCTCTGACTTCAACGTCTACTGAAAAAAAATTATTGACTGATTTAAACGAAAAAAATAATGGTAATTATTTTAGACAATGGTAGGTACATTAAAATATAAGCAAATACCAAAAAATTATAAACATTTAAAGGAAGCCATACAATATATAATATAGAAATATCCACATGCCTATTGTCTCCGTCTTACAAACGCAAAACGTAGGTAGTTATATAATAGTAGGTACGTTTTGAATGATTCTTTAACTTTGCTATGTTTAATTTTAGATGACCTATTACCAAATTTAGAAGTAAGAATATTATCTACTGGTTGACATGGGTTTTTTTTCAAATTGTAAATTGTTTGTTCATTTTAAAATGCTCATAACACTCCCTTTACAATTAAAATATTTAAAAAAATATATGTCATCAACTAGATACTTTTCTTACTTTTACATTTAGTAATAGGTCAATTTAATCTAAAATAAAAATAGGTAACAGAGTTAAAAAAAAATTATTCGGAACGTACGATTTCCTATATGATGTATTTGTAAGACGGAGACAACGCAGCGGGTATCCTCTTTATTACTACAACACACCTTAAAAATGTTTTAGTGTTGAACAAATATAAATCAGAGACTTAAAAAATTTCAAGTGAGAATGAGAGAGAGAGAGAGTAGAGAGTATAAACTATAAAGACTACATTATAGAGTGCATAGGTACTGTGTTATATTTTATTCTGGCTAGGGCGTTCCAAACATATAGGGTCGGTATCACCTTGGTAACGGTTCTAACATTGATATTTGACGACGATACGTGCGCCCTTAGCCCGCCCCATAACTACCCCCAGGGCCCCACTGAAAAGTTTAACGTATTCGTTTAGATTTTAAATTGATTGAGTTGCCAATATTAGCCTGTGGGTATTGAGTCGTCTTCTTGGAAAGTCGGCTTGTAAAACCTAGTTGTGGTCATTGAGGGTATATTCGTTAAGATTAGCACATCAAAGCGGTTTGAATCGGTATACCGATATCCAGAATTAAAGTTTGTTCTGTTGTTAAGTATAGGGCTTTAATATTTTTACTTTTTTTTTATGAGGATAACGATCCGTCATAATCAGAGTCCTACTGAGGAATTTTTGGGATTGGAGCTAATTTTTTGGTGGGGTTCCTTAACTTAAATTACAAAATTCTGTTATTTTAAAATTCAATTTTAGCTACCCTGTCCAGTCCATACTATTAGACATTAGTTCATGGTACACGGACCCATCCATGAATATAATCAATACCCGGCCAAAGCCCCAACAGTGACGCTCTAACATGAAAAAAAAAATCGTAAATTATTTACAGTGATGCCCGCATGGCAACTTATCGCTCGCTGAGCTGCGCTCGGACAAAAAAAACGAAAATATCCCTCGACTTGTTGCGTGCAACACAACCACAAGTTGGTCACAGGGCAACCAACCCCCATAGTTTTTGAGACCCCCATAGTCTTGGAGATTAATTTCAAATTGTTTTTTCTATTATTTTTATTATTGTTATAATTGTATCTGTTATTAATTTGTAATATCATGAAATTACGAAACATCCAAATTCTAAATCTAAATCTAAATTTAAATCTAAAATCTAATCCAATTTAATCTAATATTTTACCTTTTTTGTTTATTTTAATAATATATTATTTCTTTTCCTTTCTTTTATTTATCTCTGTCACCATTGTCACCATTGCAGATTTCCAACAAGTCTTCAACATTGAAATTAATTTTCGATAGACAAGAATATTTAATCTAGTAAAAAATTGTAACCACCTATACCTAATTTGTACAACAAAAGAACTCTTGATGAAAATTAAGAACTTAACTTACTATCTGGTAGGGTCGAGCTAAGTATAAAAACAAAGAGTGTATGGCACTCTAAATGCACACATAGGCAATAAACACGCAAAAACTAGCTGGATAAAATTACAGGAAGCAACAGGATTCACGAAAAAATTTCATGTGAAAGCCAGAAATTACATTATTACTATGGAAATTATGTTTTAAAATTATTTACATTTATAATAATATCATCTCAATCAAAATAGTTATCAGTGATCAGATTATGAGAAATTATAAATGCAAGTATGTGCGCAATGAATCTAGGTCAATTGAAACCTGTTGGTTTCAGCGATAGCGGACTGAAATTTTCACCTGTAGGTACCTACTTACACAATACACCCCCATAATATAATTTATATTTATTTTATTAGAAGCTAATATATTTCACAGAATACAGTACTCTTTATCTATATTATATTGTAATCAAAGTAGAATCCTTCCGGAGTCATGGAGTCCAAACGTCCTCAATATTTTTGGGTTTTGGATTCATATCAGAAAAATTTAATTTAATTTTGCTTATATTAGGTGAATTTATTGTTTAGAAGTAATGGTATTCTAGTGGGTGACAGATTCAACACGTATTAAGTACAAAATATAAACATAATTTTATAAATATAACACAGTGCTGTACACATTGTACATGGAACATCAAATACGCGTACAGTATTGATTATGTATGTAACCATAGAAACGTGATTCCCAGGGGTCCTTTAAATGTATATGAAATATATATATATAGCTACGGTATGCTGTGTAAATGAACAAAAATCGATCAAGCTGAGATTTCGGGGCCACACGCATGCGTACCCAACTGTTACGCGGTGGAGAGAGCTTTCACTTTCTTCGCTATTCCGCGAGGTACAAATCTGTAAAAATAATATGTAGGCCATATTATTATCTGACGGGGTCGGTTCAGTATTTTTCGTTGGTAAGCGTGTTTTTCAGAGTTTGAAAAAATGAATAATAAACACTTCAACTCGATAATAGAAATGTATTATAACAGACTATAGTGGAATATATTATTACCTATAGTCTATACTATTTCACTGTCTCGATATGTGAGCTCTGGAAGTTTAACTATGTACTCTGCAGCTATTACTTGAATAATTGTATTGACGTGGTTTGGCACCGCAGTAGGGTCTCTATATTGTATTCATAAATGTATTTCATACAATACTACTATAAACTTAAAACTTTAATTTTCAAAAAATGTTGTTCGAGGAGTAAAATATTTGAACTCAAACCTTAAAATTGCTGTCCTGGACAATTTTATAAAAACTATTTAGAATGAAACATTCTAGACGCACGATTTGTAACTATTTAGACCTGTTGAATGATATGCATTCGGCTGGTAGCATTAGTAATTTGTAGACACTGAATAAATCAATAAACTATGAGGGTTTTTTTTAATATTAACGGTTTAACAATAATCTTGGGGGGTCATTTAAGGTAAGCTTTTATTGAAATATAATGGGGTTTGTTTGTAACTACGATCTATATATATATACATATATATATATATATATATAGTAACAAGTAAAAACGTCAAACACAATTTAATAATGCCTATTATGTTTGACAAAAAGAGATAATATTGTCCTACAGCACTGGATGAACCCTCTCGTGTAGTCGTTTGTATATACGCTACCAATTTTGCGTCTATAAAATATGTATAAATACCGTTTCCCTGGCCACCCCGAAAGTGTAAACGACTCATTGGTATTTAAATATCACGTATAACATGTTGCCAAAAAACTATAATTTATCATCCATGTCACACGGCTTTATGTTAAATGTTTTATAAAAGAAAAAAAAACATTGGAGATATAATAAATTGCTAAAAAAAATTTCGAGAATATCCAAAATCGCAAGTAAAAACTATATAATCCACAATAATATGTTTTAATTTTAGTATTTATCTACTAATCTGTTTCACGAGTTTTAACATTAATATAACTAAATTAATTTTAACGTTTACAGGCTTATATTTATGTGGGAAATTTACATAGAACATTAGAAAACACAAAAAAGTCGTCCAAACACTATGACGGAAATCTATGAAATTGTAATTAGTTATAAAAATGCGGCAAAAACCTGATGAAATGCGTAGTATGCCCTCTGTGACCCCTGCGATTCGTGAGAACGTGAGAAAAAACTTTTGTTATTGATTGTTTGGAGAAAAATCCAGGGTCTGATCTGGGTACGAATGGTTGTTCTGGTGGTTTCGAATCGGCAAGGAAACATCTAACTATATATAAAACACGTTTACTTTATTTTTCAAATAGCTAATCGTTTTTTTCGGTTCACCATGGCGTCCAGAGGTCGACGACCGCAGCCACGGTGGCTGGTATTGGCGGGGGTTGGAACCCGCTGGCCCCATTCCAGCATCAGCTTGTAATCGATTTTCCGCTCGCCGGAAAACAGCCACCACCATCGCTACCGTCGCTGCTATTTCGGTGGACGTGTGATCTGTCATCTCGTTTTCCGACCCCCATCGACCGAATCAGCGCTGCTGTCGGTCAGCTTCAATCGATTTTTCACCGATGAATTTTTCACCCAACGGGGGACCCTGACATAACATCCCGTTCGTTGTCAGCCCGTGCACGTACGTACTATCAATGAGTTCAGTCGTACTTCACGCCGTTATTTCGTCTTTTCATTCACGAATCATAATATGATAGTATCATATACCTACAGTGTCTGTTGTAACTCTACGGTTACAAGTATATAATATTATATACCAGCACAGCAGCCATGCCGAGTATTTTGGAAACACGTCTTGACATTAAATTTATAAGGACTTATAATGTCCTGAACGACCTCCAGATCACGTGAGTACACAATTTTAATCGTGCACGATCAACTTATAATTTTTATTGTTCTAAACGGCGTTTTCTTTTTTTTTAGAAATCTTGTCTATGAACGAAAGTTGTTTGCCCAGAAAACCGCAATCCGAGAGATTACCAAAGAAGAGTGTCAACAAATGTTAAAACTCGAATTGAACGTCATGACACTTTGTGGTTTAGCCTTGGACGTAGGTGCTAGAATAATAAATTATCAATCGCGAAATGTAAGATGTTAATGTTTATCGGTTTTCAATCTGCAGGAGTACTTTATTCCTAAATCTTTATTTATCAATGAGAGAGTCAGTATCATGAAAGTGTTGTGCAATCGAATTGATCACTTGTACTTCAGTATGTTTCAAATGTTTTCTATTGGATGTGTGTTATTGGTAGAGTACATGGCATTTCAATCAAAAAATGTAAGTAAATTATGATACTTGTAACAATTATACTAATTAAAATAATACGAACAATGACCGACGTTAATAAATAATTTACCAATTATCATTTCTGGTAGGGATCTCTTAATATTATGGTTAGTCTATCTAACGTATCGCAAAAAAAAAATCATGTACTTATTTAATAGAAAATCACACTGGTAACAATTTTGATGTTTTATTTATAGTCATTGTAGTGTTAGAAACTGAAACTTTCTATTTGTAGTTCCGTTGGCTAGTATTTTTTACACGCTTTAATATTGAAAGCAATCCTTAAAGCATTACAACCCCCAAGAAATTGTTACCTGTCTCTTTACACGGCATTGGGCATACAATTATCTATAATACCTACTATAAATTCAAGCTTTTACGTTATTGATCAAATTTATTGGGAAGTATACATGATCATGGAAAATGAAAGTAGCGAAAGTATAAAAAAAAGAAAGTGAAAGTCATGCGAGTGCCCAGAAACAGTGTTACCATCATCACTAAATCACTAAAACATCTGGGAGTTATTCTAAAAAGAACACCTTGACAACTTTACCACCCCCAACTCTGTGCTACCCGCACCTATTGGACCTCTTACACGGCAGTACAACATTATTTATGTATACCTACTATATATATTATAATTAAGTTTTTATACATTATTGATCAATTTTATTTGTTAATCTTCATGCGCAGAGAAAATGAAAGTAGAGGGCGCTGCATGAGTACCTATAAACAAAGAAAATGAAAGTCGTGGGGAGTGCTTTAAGACAGTGTTACCACAACTAAAAATTGTTTGTTCCTTATTTATTTTCTAAAAAATTACGATAGAAAGGAAGGGCTTATTTATTTTAAACTATCATTAAACAAAATAGTGTTGTCAAGTCCCCATTGGTTTTTGCAGTTGGGACTTTTAAAAATATATGGGATTTGGTAAATCTTAGGATAATAACAACCAGAGATGGTAAATGTCCGAAATTGTTAACTAATTGTGTGATATTTTTTCCCCTATTATAATTGTACTAGTATATAATTACAAATTGTAATTTACAATATTATTACGTTTACATAAAATTAATATTAATTATTATGTTAACCACTACTTAACATTGTAGCTACTATACTATATACGTATGTAGTATATTATTTAGTGTTTTTACTTTTTTTTTATCGAACCCGGGACATTTAACGCGATTGAATATATAATTATATATTTAGTCACTTTGTATAATTGTAATGACCAGGGAGGGGGAGACTAAAACCTGTACTTAAAACTTTTGGTGCGCTTAGTCTACTCAAGCCCCCTTCGATTTCCGCCTATGGTCCTACACTCCTATAGGGCATCTCGTTGGATTGGCGGTCGGTCCTCAACCCCTCTGTGTGGAAAGTCCACTTATCATAAAATAGGTATACCTATACCTACATAAATTTATTATAAGTATTAATTTTATATTTATTTATGACAAATACAAAAAATAAAAAATCCATATCATTGTAAAATTAATACACTCGCATTACTCCACTTAAAATCTGAAAAAAATTTTTTTTGTTCAGGAGTGTTAATATTTTTTAAAATATTGGTACTGTTTTATGAATATCGATATTACATAAAAACTTTTTCTTTTAAATCACAAAATCAACAATGGAAATAAAGAAAATGTCATAATATTAATCAACATAATATTATTACCTACCAAGAATCTTAACTTTTTTATGACTAACATTTATTTGTTTCAGAAACAGTTTATAACCAACGAAAGCCATCCGCTAATCGTATTAATGTCGAAAAAAAAATGCGATCCTGCAATGTATTCAGCAGCAGCTACGTTCGAATATGAACAACATGATATCGAGATGGCTAGGCGATACATCGAAGAAGGAATTATAAATCACCCAAATAATCAAACTCTTTATTTAGAACAATTGTGGATTGAAGTGATGCACTTGGGTGATGTAGAAGGCGGTGATTTGAATGAATTGAAAGCAATTCAAATTTATAAAAATGCAATAAAAATTTTCGAAATGGACATGGATTTTCATATGTCATTGATAAACAGATCTATAGAAGTAAAACCCATATGGAGAATACAGAACGAAATTGTCTGGTACATATACATAATATCAATGATAATAATAAAATATAATTAACGTATTATTACCAATATTAATTTGTAGATGATTCTTAAAAACATAGGTATTAAAACTGTTTTATTATTATATTATTTAGTGATTTAATTGTAATATACAAACAAAGTGATGTTATGTGGCATAAAGTTGCTACATTGTGCGCTGACGGATTTATATTCGACCACGATGATAGCTCCTTCGGATACTTCACAGACTTCAAAAAAAGAGCGAGGTTATTTTACATAATATTATTAATTAATAACTATTATAAAAATTTGTGTTGAGTCTATAACTGCATCGTGATTCGTTTAAGAGTAAACACTAAATACCTACCTACCTGGCTGCCTATCTAAAAAAATATTATCGTTTTTGAAAATATTTCTTATACATTATTAAGGTTGGTTATAACAAATCTTAAAAAAAATATGAAAAATTAAATATATTAAAAATTTTGTTTTATAATTGCTTTGAATTGCCTATGTAAGAATAGTATATTTTTAATAAAAAACTGTACCTACCCATACTCTCCTATAGGCTATATATAATTAAATATAGGTAACTAATAAACAAATATATGTATTTTTATTTTATTAGATTGGTAGGTACCTACATGGTATTGATATGGTTTTGTTATATAGGAGTTGTATTCAAACATACAATGAAGGATTGAAACATGTATTAGGCATCACAAGAAAACGTAATTTGATGAAATTGCTTACTGAATATATAATAAAACTTTGGAAATATAATAAAGGTATTCAAATATTGGAAATCAATGACCTCGTGAAAAGGGAAATGAAAAAGGCATTCCTGATGGGCCACTTTGACCTTGGAGGTCTCCACAACCCAGAATATTACGTTTATTGGGTACATTTTATCAATATAATACTACTCTGTAAATTGTACATAAATACATTTTGGTTTCGTTACGAAGGCGGTACTTTCTGAAGAGAATCGTCCCGAAATATTACAATTGGCGATCGATTGCAACAAAGACAACGTTCAAGTGTGGGCTGAAGTTTTAGAATATAATGTCGTACATTTCGATAGTTATAGAACAGTAAAAAAGACTTTTGATATCGGCAATCAGGCATTGGGAAACAAGTCATCTATGTTGTGGAAAATTATGGATTCGTTTTTGCAACAGTACTGTGACGTCACACTGGTATGATATTATTAATTATTATTTCGATATATTTAATATATCTACCTATGAAAACATAACACAGTGTAAGTTAACAATAATAAAAAAGATTACCATAGTTTTAACTTAATTATTATTTTAATACAACAAAGTTATATAACACATAGTTCAATAGTACTTTGTACATAATATATAGGAACAATATATATTTATATAAAATAAAAAAATGTTATTTTGGGAAATTCCGTGACTAAGTTTACTATGAATCATAGTGGCTGACGAATGTGGTTTTTGAGAAGCGGTGGCTTCTGATTTTTTTTATATTTAGGGATAGGTGCTAGTGAAAAACAATATTATTGCCAAATAATTATATTATATTTATAGTAATTATATAGTAATACAATTAGTACTTGCGTTTATTACAAATTGTTGGGGGCGTGAGTCAACTTGAGGTGCTTATGGGTTATTTTTGGTTCGTTTCACCTCTGCAACTATGATAGTGACAACAGGTGTCGGGCTATAATAGACAATCAAGTGATAGCAACATTATTACCATGGCCATATAGATAACCGTGATTATTACATACCGTTATGTTATTATCAATTATTCAGTTGTGTTGTCATAAATTATAAAATAATTCAACAAATATATGAAATGATATTGAATTTGAATAGGCTTATAATTTAAAGTTCAGCTATTGCAGCCTGCAGAAGCAAAATCATACCTTTGCACCTGCTACATAATACCAGTGGGTGCAAAAGCACCGACATTTGCCCCGTGATTACGTCACTGTCTGTAGCCAAAGTGGCGAATCGGTTATTTGAGTAGAAATATTTGGTTGTACTTATATCCTTTTCGAATTCAGAATTGGTGAATTTGGGGAAGAACGAGGATGCTAGTGTTTATTTTGAGTTGGTGTTTTGATGAGGCCATATTTACTCTTGATATATAACTCATATAAAAAAAATACTTTAAAATAGAGACCTCACTGGATGTTAAAAATTCATAAAACGAATTACGTAGACGGCAAACAGCGATTATCGAACAGACATAAAACATTGAACATACAGTGAACGTGAAACGGCCAAACGGGTTAACACTCAAAAAATAACAAATTATGTTTTTTTTTTTTTTAGTTTATAAGATTTGTTATAAGTTGTAACGTTCATTTTTCATAGCTTGGGAAGTTTTATGAAGATGGCGCCAAGAGCCCCTACCAAGAGATCAGCAATGTGTACAAAGTCGACTACCTTGAATGGCTTCATATGTACGAAGGCATATCCTCTGCTCGAGAACAGTTCAACCAATTGAAAAACTTAAAACCGGAGAACAAAAAATTGTACACGAACATGATTGAGTACGAGAAACTACAAGAGCCGATCAACGTCAGCACCATAAGAAACCTGTACGACCTCGCGTGCTCGACATTTTGCCGTCAAGGCACTGAAGTCAGTTAGTATATTTTTATAATATTGATGATATCATTTCTGAAGTCCAAAAATACATAATAAGTATTTTAAGTTATAAAAAAAGGCAAACGACTATATTTTATTTTTATTGACATGGTAGTTTCAGAATCGCGAGACGTAACTAATTGTGGCTGTCAATATAAGTATGTACCTATAAGTTCCTCTAGAGTAAACCCGGTTACGTGAATTGAGGTGTTACAGGGTATGCTTATGCATGCATAAAATAATATATCAAGATTGTATTTTGGCTTGACTGTAATTTTCGGATATAACCCATTTGGCTTCCGTTTTACAAAATGGTGAATTCCTAAGGTTAGGGAAATTAACACAAATTCCTATTCACTTCATACGAACTTAGGACTGTCTTGAACTAAGTGTGATTAAAAATGTGTATTAAATTTTATATCTGAATCTATACCTATAATTATTCTGTCCGTGTGTAAGTATTCTAACTCCTCCTAAACGGCTGCACCGGTTTTGATGAAATTGTTTGTGTGTGCTTGAGTGCACACGACAACGAAGTTCAGGAGATCAGCTAGTATAAATATAAATATCATACATTGGCTAAATTTGGGTGAAACCTTTTTAAACGGGAGCCATTTATTATTAATCTACCTGTTGGTAAAACATTATTCGACGGGAGCTGTTTGGGAATAAGCAAACAATGGACGGGGGACGTTTGGGATTCACCGTAAACAATTCAACAACTACCTACTGATCATTTAAATATTAAAAAGGTGCTCTGCTGTGCAGTAGGTTACAAGTGATCCCAATGTGTATTAGATGGTATTAAATTTGAATTCAATGATATAATATCATTGTGTAAGAAAAATGATTCTGAGTGAAAACGGTTAGTTAGCCTATGATATTACGAAGTATATTTGATGATACTAAGGTGAATAAAGTAATTTATATATAAACTATTTACATAGAACCTTGTTTTAAATTTTCAATCATTAGGTATAAAAATTGAACATTTTATAAATTTTTAACTACAAAATTATTATTACATTTTAAATGTGATACATTTTGTCAAAATTTGGACTTTAAATCCTTATAAAAAAAATTGTGCCTATGTAATTTTAATATTTTTTAAGTGCTATTGTAACAATATAACAGGAGCTTGCATTAATTTTTTACGCTTTTCTACGCAACAAATAAAACTTTATTGATATTTATATAAAAAAAACTAAAATAATTTAAAACTTAAAATGTTCGTAAACAGCTCAAAAAGAGTCAAAATATTTTCAAAATTATATGATGTATAGGAAATGCTAATGTAAACATTCAGTGAAATTTTCAAGTATCTACAGTCATTCGTATTTTAATTTCAACAAAATCAGAAAATCGTTACATGAGAAATTGATTGAATATCAAATGTTGTAAAAATATGAATTTCAAACGCTCATAAAAATTTAATTTGAGTTTCTTGTAGATATTTTTTTTTTGATAAAGGTAGACAAACTTATGAGGAATCTTATATTACATTTTCATATCTTAGATTTAAAAAGAAAATTTTTTATGAATTTCTAACTCGAAATAATTTGCAAATATTCGTCATTTTTATGTATTTTGTCAATATTTGAACTTTAAATGCTTATAAAAAAAACTGTGGCTAAGGATTTTTAATATTTTTCATCTGTCTTCAAAACAATATATTAGAAGAATTCTATTAAATGTTTAAGCTTATGTATCCAACAAATAAAATTGTATTGATATTTATAGAAAAAAAACTAAAAAAAATGGAAACTAAAAATGTCCGTTAAGAGCTCAAAATAACTCAAAATAATTGAAAAATTTTATCAAGTATAGAAAATGGATATATAAACAACCATTGAAATTTTCATGTATATACGTTCATTTGTTTTAGAGTAACAAAAAAACCAAAATCGATTTTGTGGAAAATCGATTTAGCGTAAATATTCCCGTTTTTCCTTAATTTTTCTTTTGTTTTTCACGGCGCTTTTGAAAACTACTGGAAAAATTTTACTTTTGACCCCCCAAAGTACCAACTAGATTCACTTTCCCATCAGAAAAGATACTGTTGAAGAAAATCCAAGCACGTTTACTGTCCTAAAAGGTGATGACAGACAAAAAAAAAAATACAAAATAAATAAAAAAACACACATCATTGTAAAATCAATACATTCATCGTTCCACTCAAAATCTAAAATAAATTGATAATCAATATAATAATTATTACAATACTTACAATATATTATAAACAAAACAATACAACAGTTAAATAAATAAAATAAAAACAATACAATATACAAGATTATCTATAATAATAGGTATAATCTCTATAAAACGAATATGTTTATACCTACGGGTATTTCATATAATATTCATAATAATATATAGCTATGTAAGTAAAAGAAAACTATAGTTTTTATTCGGGAAGATTAATATTTTTTTCCCTGATGGAATCCATAGGTATTGTTTCTAGACTACCTGAACTGGTGGAATCGATATACCTTATCACCTAGTATAGAAAGGTCTGGCTGAATCGACGAAACCCCTAGAAAATATGTTATTGTATTGTTTAAAAGAAATATAAACATGTTTGATTTATGTTGAATATTTTATGTGTGACTGAGGATATCAGGATTTGTTTTATATGCAATGTTTTTGGGTACAATAGTGTCTATAAATAATTAAATTTAAATTTAAATAATCTAAGTACTAACTTGATTCTTAGGTAGGTACACAACATTCATAATAAATTAGATTATGAGATGGACAATTTTAAGGTCCTTTAGGTTAAAAATAATAATATGTTGTCCCACTGAAAATTGTTTTGGCCCGCATAGTTGTTATTAGAATACCTATAATATATGATTTGCACAAAAATGAAATTTCACACGTGGGAAGTCGGAATATTCAGTTAGTACATTTGTATCGTATTGAGCCGGTTGTATTAGATCGTTTCACTTGCAGGTTTATTTGCAAAATGCATTGAGTTCGAGTTAACATACGTTGGGAGTTCTACGGCCGAAAGAATCTATAAGGTGGCGTTGCGGATTCTCAAACCACATTTGAGGACTGATTTGAAACGCATGTACAAGACGATAAATGAAGCTCACAGGTTTGTATTAAATAGTTAGGTGTAAATACTTTGCATTGTTACAGACTGTAAATTAATATTATGTTTTCATTTGCAGAAAACGCACCGTTACTATCGACCCAGTTATTATTGAAATTTCAGACGATGAAGAATAGGTACCAAAATCTAGAAAAACAACGACACTGAAAAATACATCAAATGTATTTTACTTATAAATCACAAATATCAGTTTTTTTTCACATTTATAATAATCCTGACATCTGCTGTTATTAGCAAATTAACTCAATTTTGAGAAAGGTAGACAAGTGGGTACCGCTCTGCTGTACGGCAGTTTTCGAGTTTGACGTTATTGTAATGAATTATGAATGTGTTAAATTTGAATTTAATGACAAATCATTGTATACCAAAAATTGTTCTTCGTAGAGACTGTGTGTCAGCCTACCCCAATACTTGTATAAATAATCAAATTTAATAGTTAATTTTTTTTTTTTTTGCTTAAGGTAGATTAACTTGTGGGGAAACTTCTAATAAATTTCCTTATGTTAGCTACGAAAAGAAAAATGTATATACATTTATAACAAAAAATAATGTTCACATTTTTGAGACTTAGATGAATTTGTCAAAGTCCTAACATTAGGCAATCATAAAATCATTCTGTCCCAAGTGGAAATCTGTACGGTTGAAGAGATAACTCTGACGCTATAGGGCCAAGTAAAATCTTGTATTACACTTTCAAGTTTTTTGATCGAGCAAAAAACAATTAATTGACAGTAATTAAATAAAAACTTTAGAAAAAAATCGAAAATTTCCCATATTTAGCAATAAAAATTATGATTGTATGGTGTTATAATTTCGACGAAATTCATCAAGGTCTCAAAAATTCACCTGAAAATTAACGAATTCTCATTAAACGATTTTTAACATTATTTAAAAACTTGAAAATTTAATGTAAGGTTCCTATATTAAAGATAAATGTGTACGATTATTTTTTATAATATCCATTTAAAGTTTAAATTTTGATAAAATCCCAAAAACTTTCAAATTATCTTTCAGTTAAAAATGCATAAACATTTTGATTTTCATTGCTAACATTTGAAAATTTAATAGAAGATTGCTCATATGTTTTATACCTTTAAAAATAGCAATGAGATGTTTTCGATTCTTATTAATATTTTTTTAATTATTAAATTTTATTTTTTTATACAAGTATGGTTGCTACATTGGTTTTTCATATTAAACGATTTATCATTGAATTAAAATCTAACACACCTATGATAATTATTAATGACATACTCGACCACTTTTGTACAGCAAATCGGTACCCACTTGTGTCCACCTTATTTACCTTATCGTTTTTTACCATGTCGGTTTTTTCCGTGTCGTTTTTTACTTATTACCAGGTAGGTATATCTACTTACTTGTTAAATTCTTATTATATATTTTTATTTTTTATGTTAAGGCACGTTATCGTTTATTGTTAAAAGAATGGATGTGGTCTATGGTTTTAATATCTATTTGATATTCTGTTGAGTGATATTCATATTTCGAATAGGTGCATTATAAATATTATTTTTGTTTGATTAGAGCTGCCAAAACAATGGTTATTGGCTCATGACATTATACAGTAATGACTTATAGTACGATTATGGTACATTAAACTTAATATGTGTGGCTTGACGCTGCGAGTTGGCTGCTACTAGCTCCCGGATGGGTGACCACCCGGGTCCGTAGTAGTAAAAACCTTGCCACACATACACGTGTTTGCTTACTTACCTAACAACCGTAACAACACCCTACCGTACCAACCTTAACAACTATAGTTCATGATCCCCTACACCAGATAATGGCCATAGTCGCGGAGCTCAAGTTTAAAAAAAAAATTAAAAAAATATATAATATGTATGTTATATTAGATAGTACAATTTAGTTAATTAGTAAATACATATAATGATGTTTGTTCATTAAGAAATTTATGTAAAACTGCTTTGGTTGTAGTTTTTATAATAATATTTCATACTCGCTTATTTGAACCTGTTAAATTCCATCAATCACTACAACTTTAAACTGCAGATTAATATGTTTTAACATTTTTATTTTTTAAGAATCAAAATTATTAAATCTATATAGATTTTCTCAACACAACAAATTGAAGTAAATTAGTCCATGCTTTCATAATACATAAAAATATGTTTTTCCGCATAAATATATATCTCATCTTGTTGTCAGATCTGGGCAACTGATAGAGTTCTCCAAATTCACTTAGTCGTTAAACCTAAAGAATGCACCCTTTTTATTGCCACAATATTATAGAACTAAATACATAGGTGCCTAGTCATTATTGTGTGATTAGTGCTTGATTAGTGTGTGATTGCTATAAGTTATAACAATAATAACATTTAACCTGTGTGACGTGAGTTGTGTGTTTAACAATTAATGATTATTCTACTTACATACTATTTATAATTACAAAATATATTATGTACTTACTTACCTATATTAATTTTTTTTTTTTTTTGAAATAACAAAAATTGTCATTTATGATCAGTTAATCTTAACATTTTTACTTTTTAATTTAAGGATCAACATTAGTAAATTTATATAGATTTTCTCAACACAACAAATTTAAGTCAATTAATCCATGTCCTATTTTCATAATAGGTATATAAAAATATGGTTTTCCGCATAAATTCATATCTCTCCTTATTATCAGATCTGGGCAACTGATAGATTTTTCCAAATTCACTTAATCGCTAGACCTAAAGAATGCACCCTTTTTATTGCCACAATATTATAGAAGTAAATATATAGGTAGGTAGTAGGTATTCATAATTTTGTGATTACTATAACAATAATAACATTTAACCTGTGTGTCGTGAGTGGTGTGTTTAACAATTAATGATTATTCTACTTAAATACTATTTATAATTACAAAATATATTATGTACTTGCCTAAATTAAAAATTTATTATTTTTGAAATAACAAAAATTGTCATTTATGATTAATTTGTTTTAACATTTTTACTTTTTACGGATCAACATTATTAAATCTATATATAGATTTTCTTAACACAACCCATTGAAGTCAATTAATCCATGCCCTATTTTCATAATATATAAAAATATAGTTTTCCCCATAAATTCATAATATATCTCCTTGTTGTTGGATCTGGGCAACTAATAGATATTTCCAAACTCACTCAGGGTCGTTCTTACAATGTCCGGTAAAGTGTCGGTTAACTCTAACCGACTGATAACAGATTGACGCGGACCCGATGGTTGAATAAAGTTGTTCGTGATCCGGTCGGCACTCCGAGCATCCCACCTTGTCACGCCGGAGACCGGGGTTCGCCCCCCCCCCCCCGGGAGCCATTTGGACCCGAACGTCGGACGATATGCTATCAGTCCGATGGTAGATTGCTCGAATCGCCTTTTTCGCCGACCGTTGTACTTACGTCTTACGCGAGACAGTCCCCGGTCCCGCCTTGGAGTTATCGGCTCGGTGTGAGAGTCAACCCCTGATGCTTACATCCCGTAGTGGTGGTATTGGAGATAAGATAGACTGGTCGCTGCAGTGCTTGTACATTGTACTTGCTACTAACGAGGGCGGCGTGAAGGTTTTATTACCGGCAGAAGTCGATGGTTAAGTGTCGGTTAACTTTAACCGGACACTGTAAGGACGGCACCTTGGTCGTTAGACCTAATGAATGCACCCTTTTTATTGCCACAATTTTATAGAGCTAAATATGTAGGTAATAGGTATTCATTATTGTGTGATTACCTATAACAATGATAACATTTAACCTGTGTGTCGTGAGTGGTATGTTTAACAATTAATATATTATTGTACTTCAAATTCAGGGCTTGCAAACCTTATAATAACGTTGTATTTGACAAAAAAACTATTGACATTTGTAACGAAAAATCAAAAATAATTTAATAGCTCAAAACAAAACATTACGATTAATAAAATATATTATTTATTTATTTATTTATTTATTTAATCATATATTAAGGGTATGTGCCCAATTTACAATTAATATTTAATACATAAAACTGAATTTTTTTTCAAATGTAAGCCCTGACTTCAATACTATTTATAATTACAGAATATATTATGTACCTATACTAAAAATTTGTTATTTATGTGTGTATTACTATTTATTAAAAATATATTATATAATAATTATAATGATTGTTTATTGTATTTTATGTATAATAATATGTCATGTATACCTACATAAGGTGTCCTACAGGCTACAGTATTTACTACACTACTACCTAGGTACCTATAATACAGAAATACAGTAATACCTATCTTGATGGTAGATTGAAGATATGCATTTATAATTTAATTAATAATCACAAATAAAAACTTGTATAATGAGTAATGACTATAAATTATAATGTTTATAGTTTTCTTAGTTGGTATTTTAGAGTCAGCACAGATAATAATCAAATACTAATAATATGAATACCAGGTAATAATACGCTAAGAAAAGTACTATGAACATAATATTATTATGGATTTTATGTGGTTTTTTTTATTTTTTTTGAAACAAATAAAAGATGTTTTCTAATTTGAACAAGACATTTTTTTTACTTCAAGTACATTATGAACATTAGTCAAACGTCTGGAATAAGATAATAGTATATAGGTACATAAAACGTAAGAAAATAAACGATCAAATCTTTAAATCTCAAGAACTGGCGGAAGTTAGGTGTATATGTTTTTACTTTTTTTTGTATGCTTGCTCTGTATTTAGGATTTTGTCTTAAGGAGGGATATGATTTTATACAGAAGCTCCGCCTTAAAAGTTAGGGGTCTTAAGTTAGGACTCCGAAAACTTTTGCATATTATATATTATCTATAGGGGGGATTGATCGCCTTGATCTCCCCTCTGTAAATACGCCACTACTAGAAAGTGTAACTATTCATGTTGGAAATATTGAATAAAATTGTATCCCAGAATCTGAATAGATTGTTATTACCGGGTAGTTTTGAAAGCTTGTATTTATGCGAAGACCAAGCTTTCATTCTACCAATAATAACGATCTATATACTACAACTCTTAATTTTTAATTATTGTATAATGTCACCCAAAACCTTATGGGTGATTCATCTTGATTTATTATATTAGATAGGTAATTATATTGT